GCCAGTGCTCCGCGTATATTTACCAAGTTATTAAAACCAGTTTATTCAACACTTCGTAGCATGGGCCATGTTAGTTCAGCATATATCGATGACTCATATTTACAAGGTGACACTTATGACGAATGCTATAAGAATGTCGTAGATACTGTAAGATTGTTCTCAAAACTCGGGTTTTGTATACACCCGGAGAAATCAGTTTTTGAACCTACCCAGCGACTTGTATTTCTGGGATTTATCTTAGACTCAGTATCAATGACAGTCAGACCTACGGATGATAAGAAACACAAGATAATTGAGGTTTGTTCTAGGATTCTAGCAACKCCACGTCCTACTATTCGKGAGGTCGCGGAGTTAATTGGAACCTTAGTTTCTMATTTTCCTGGTGCCCAGTATGGCCCGCTCCATTATAGGCAACTAGAATATGAGAAATATCATGCCGTCGTGGCAAATAAAGGAAACTATGAAGGCTCTATGATATTATCGGCCCTCGCAACATCAGATATYAAGTGGTGGTTAAATAATGCACCACAGTTAAAACGAGACATTGTTCAAGATAATCCCGCCATTGTTATTCAATCAGATGCATCTAACCTTGGTTGGGGAGCGATTTATGGCGGGAAAAAAGCGGGGGGGCGATGGATGCCTCGTGAGGCAGTACTACATATTAACATTCTAGAGCTAAAGGCAGCATTTTTCGCCCTGAAATGTTATTGTTCTGATTTACGAAATCAACATGTGCGTATATTTATTGACAATACGACAGCTATTTCCTATATAAACAACATGGGAGGGTCGAAATCCACTATGCTCAACATTTTGGCCAAAGAGATATGGGACTGGTGTATTGTTAGGAATTTATGGGTTTCGGCAGTGCACATTGCAGGAAAACTTAACGTTGAGGCAGATAAAAAGTCAAGAAAGTTCTCGGACAAACATGAATGGATGATTAACGATAGGTTGTTTAACGARATTATCACATCATTWCCTGCACTTAACATTGACATGTTTGCAAGTCGGCTGAACAATAAACTCGATGTTTACTGTTCTTGGCAGCCTGACCCTGGGAGCACTTATGTCGATGCTTTTTCTGTAAATTGGAGTTGTCATGAATTCTATGCTTTCCCCCCATTTAGYCTTATTCCAAGATGCCTTTCCAAGATAACGACCGACAAAGCACGGGGAATAATGATCGTCCCAGTATGGCCAACGCAAACTTGGTTTCCAACTGTTCTTCGTCACCTCTACAGTCAACCTTGGATTTACATACCGAGATCAGACCTCCTTCAACATCCATCACACTGCAATCCACACCCACTTGCCAGGAACCTTGCTCTGATGGTTTGTCCGTTGTCAGGGATCGATATCGACACCTACAACTTTCAACAGAGGTTACCGAGGTGCTCCTGGCATCCTGGAGACCAGCGACTAAGAAACAATACGGCACGTACCTCCGGCGATGGTCTTTATTTTGTAATAAAAGGGAGGTTAATCAGTATACACCAGAGATAAATGATGTACTTGAATTTTTAATAACACTYTTCAAGGAAGGGTTTAGTTATTCCACTTTAAACACTGCACGTTCAGCTCTGTCAACAATTGTAAGTATACCTGATTTTTCTTCTCATCCTACAGTCAGCAGATTTATGAAAGGGATATTCGAATTGCGTAGACCWACACCTAAATATAATGCCATTTGGGATGTTTCTATTGTCCTGCGTTATTTRTCAAAACTTTATCCTAAYGAATCATTGACCCTGAAAGATTTGACACACAAAGTTCTAATGTTATTGTTACTGGTAACGAGTCAAAGAGGACAAACAATCCATTTATTAGACATTGCCAMGTTAGTTACTCAAGATGATATCTATATTTTTCATGTTCTCGAGCACACAAAAACAAGCAAGCCAGGGAAGCCCTATGATGTTATTACTATACCGGCGTATAAGCCTGATCCAAAACTCTGTCCATTTTCRTGTCTTAAACTTTACATTGACAAAACAAAGGAGTTGAGACACAATGAGACTCAGCTGTTTATCAGTTATGTTAAACCCCATAAGCCAATATCTAGAGACACTATTTCCAGATGGACAAAGACAGTGTTAGAGAACAGTGGTATAGATACTAGTATCTATAAAGCTCATAGCACAAGAGCTGCGTCATCATCCAAAGCTAACAGAGAGAGTGTTCCATTAGATCAAATAATGGCGAACGCAGGTTGGAAGTCTGCAGAGACTTTTCATAAGTATTATAACAAACCATTAGAAAGTAATAGTGTTGCTCATGTTGTCCTTAAAATGTAATTATTAATCGGT